AGGTGTGGGGAGGTGGAACCTGTACTAGGAGACAGCACAGCTTTGCACACAAACATTTATAGTGTGCAAATTTGAAACTGTACATAGGAAAACTGAATCCAGGTGCACTTACGTGTACATTTCTGGAAAACATACTTAAGTTTATTTAGCTATATTGCCAGTGAACGTACTTGCAGTTATTAACCAATATGATTCTTGTGGGCAATGTAAGTGGACAAAGCAGTCAGCCCCTCTGAGGAAGAAAATGTTATAATCACATTACATTATCAGGCAATTTAAGATCTCCAAGCCAGCCCAGATGCCAAATATCTTACCCAGAATGGGTGTTTATAAATAGAAGGTAACAATGGTGTATTTAGGTTGCCACATTAAGCAGCAATTTTGTACGTGTTCCTTGCTACTGCATCTACCTGAATGGTTATACATTTTTTGTAAACACATCATTACAATCATTTCCGTTTTCTTTTAAAAAATATTTCTCTGCTACTCCAAAACAAGCTCCTTTATCCTATGAGCTTTCAAGCTCCTTGACATATGGTAGTACTACCTGAGCACTTAAATTCATCCTTCCTTTTTCTCATTTGCTTTAGAAGATACTCTGTGACAGAATTTTTCTGACAAATAAGCCTGTACAGACCAGGAAAATCTGTACTTTTTCAAAAGTAAAAATGACCTCTAAGGTATTTAAAGGATTATGTTAAAAAAAGACTTTGCTATTAAAATAGAATCTCATGTGTAGAGTGTCCTAGATAAATGTCTAAGATACTATTGAACATTTCACAGTGTCCTCATTCAGCCGAACTTGTGACACTACACAAAGAGTAAATTGTTGGCCACTGAATTGTAATGACTTTCCTTCATCTGGTCTGCTTTGGGAATGTATTCTTGGTTACAAAATCTAGTTCAATGAGGCTTTGCACATCTGAGAATTGAAGAAGACAGGCACCAGAGCTGAGAGCAGTTTAGGATTACAGAGCATTTCTCCTTCCTCAACACAGACCTGTACCGAGTGCCTTTTGATTCACATGATGTGCCTACCATCTGACACCAACAAACTTTAAAATGCAAGGTTGATACTTTCAAACACTGCCAGAAGACATTCCAATGGCAATGTCTGGAACAGAAAGACTGAATGTTTGAATGTGCATAGAGATTATCAGGAATCAAAGCTCAAAATAACGCTCAAAATAACATCTCTGCATTCGTATGCACAACACCTCCAATTACACAGAAAAATAGGGTTTACAGATTAACCCACAGGTAACCACGTATACCCAAACAGATACTGAAAATGTGGCTCCCATAGCTTTAAGCTAAGCTAGAACAGACATGGACATTTATTTACTCTATGGTCTCCTCCCTCTTCTCTCTTTCTAAGATCGATGAAGGATTGGATCAGCTGACCTGTAAAGGCCCCTTCCCATCTAAACTATTGTATGATTATACTGGGTCTCTTTAGAGAGACCGAGTATATGCATGTTTAGTCACAGAGCATGTATAGAGACAACATAATCTGAGACAGACAAATGTTTCTGAACAAAATACCCTCTCCAGAAACAGGGCCTGAAATTCTGGAAAATTTGTAATATTCTCAGGAAAAGCTATTGACACATAGTTGTCTTTTCATAAGGGCAACTTCAGAATCAAACTGGAGAACAACAAGCAATGACTTATGAATATTTCATTTACTACCTAACAAAGCTGCAAATCAGCACACACCTAACATGGTTTTACATTCAGCTTTTGGTGTCTCTCTACCTCTGAATAATAACTCCATGCACAACATGCTGCTTTCAGTGAAACCACACACAGAGTACAACACTTCTCGGCTGTATTGCACCCAAGTTTCGTTCTAGGTGAGATGTTTACAAGTGTTCAAGTAATCAACACATACAATTCCCACGGACTTTCAATATTTGTCTTTCTAAGCAAAGTAGGTGCTTTTAAATACCATAACATAATTTGCAGAGACTCTGAAACCTCCCTTACCTCTTTCTTTACCTCTTCTTCATCTTCTAGAGTCAGTGCAGCCAGTTGCTTAGCTCTCTGCTCCATCAGGTTTACATATCTGATTGGATTGGATAAGGCCTCGATCACATCTAGAAATAATGCAAATACTTCAGTTTCAAGCCCCTTATGTTATGGTTCCAGTGCCCCTCAGGTTTTAAGAAAGAAACTGTACTTTTCATACAGATCTGCTGATGATAGGTACTTCGAGGTCCTAGAAACAACAGTGGAGGGGAGTCATGCACCATCACGCACAAATACTCTAACACAAACCCTCTTTGAGTTTGTGCTTGGGTCTTGTGGATGTGCATTTTCTGCAGTGTTTTATGATGGATTTTCAAAGCTTACAGCATCAGCCAAGTAGGATCCTGCTTCACATGCGGCACAGGGGAGCATTAGCGAAAATGTCCTTGTTTAGAGCCGATTACAAAATACAATGCTCTACATTAAGCATGGCACTTTCCTCTGCTTAGGACACAACTACATACCACTGTGTCACGTAAGCAAAGTTTCATTTGTGTTTCAGTGGCAAATGCCTGTAGTATTCCCTCCTTTAGAGTCATATGAAGTCTGCTGAAAGTAAGACTTGGCCCTAATGCTAAACCTCAGGCAGGGTGCTCTAAATCAGGCCATCTTGTATGAATGATGAGACATAATGATCCATCAGATGCACAGGTTTGTTCACAGGATCATTGCCCCAATATGTCAAGTCATCTACACCACATTCATTTTGTGGTTTAATTAACCTTTTTATTTCCCAGTAGGAAAACGTCAGAGAATTACCTGCATAAGTATCAGGTACATAGTCTTTGACCTCTATGTACACAAAGAGAGCTGGCAGCGTCAAAGGTTGGTTCCTCTCGTTCCTCAAACAGATGTAGTGATAGCCTGCAAAACAAGAAACAATCAGTTCAGAGCATAAACTCTTCCACAGGCATTTCCAATGTAATTGTGTTATCATTTGTTATTTATAGTGTGGCTCCAACTGAGC